TCCTCTCACTCTAGTGTTGCCGAACTATCGATAGTTTTACTATCGATGGTTTTGGCCAATCGATAGTCCAATAACTATCGATAGTATCGATAGTTTTGAACTATCGATAGTCCAAAAACTATCGATACTATCGATTGTTTTTGAACTATCGATAGTATCGATACTATCGAAAAACAATCGATAGTTGAACGATAGTGAAAACTATCGATTGTCTATCGTTTTACAATCGATAGTCCACTATCGAGCGGCAACACTATCTCACTCATATACTGTGACACAATGTAACAATGTGACCGATCATGATACATTACTACACTGTGACAACGTGAAGCCGCGACAACGCATCGTGATATCATCAGACGAGGAGGCCGACACGCCGGCAGCCAGGCGCACCCTCAGCAAGATACGCTCCTCCGTCAACACAGACTCCGACACCGAGTGAGTATGTAGTTCCGCTGGCACTCAACAGGTGGCGTTGTTAGTTTTCTAAAACACGCTATCGGAATGTTCTCGGCAAAAATATAAGAACTACACTGTGACAACGTGAAGCCGCGACAACGCATCGTGATATCATCAGACGAGGAGGCCGACACGCCGGCAGCCAGGCGCACCCTCAGCAAGATACGCTCCTCCGTCAACACAGACTCCGACACCGAGTGAGTATGTAGTTCCGCTGGCACTCAACAGGTGGCGTTGTTAGTTTTCTAAAACACGCTATCGGAATGTTCTCGGCAAAAATATAAGAAACGCGTCTTTAAATTCTCTCTGTCAGATACTGTGACACATAGTAGAGTGCGTTTAATCTTACAGTTCCTAGTTGGCAGCATTGGAAATTTGTATGTAATATTATTGCCGCCTTATAATTTAGAGTGCGTTTCATCTTATAGTTCCTATGGCGTCATGTTGGCAGCATTGGAAATTTGTATGTAATATTATGCCCGCCGTGTCAAATTACATACAAAATTGCAATGCTACCAACATGACGCCATAGGAACTTTAAGATGAAATGCACTTTACATACAAATTTCCAATGCTACCAACATGACGCCATAGGAACTATAAGATGAAACGCACTATAACAATGTGACCGATCATGAGACATCACTACACTGTGACAACGTGAAGCCGCGACAACGCATCGTGATATCATCAGACGAGGAGGCCGACACGCCGGCAGCCAGGCGCACCCTCAGCAAGATACGCTCCTCCGTCAACACAGACTCCGACACCGAGTGAGTATGTAGTTCCGCTGGCACTCAACAGGTGGCGTTGTTAGTTTTCTAAAACACGCTATCGGAATGTTCTCGGCAAAAATATAAGAACTACACTGTGACAACGTCAAGCCGCGACAACGCATCGTGATATCATCAGACGAGGAGGCCGACACGCCGGCAGCCAGGCGCACCCTCAGCAAGATACGCTCATGGCGTTTTAACTCTGAACAAATGGTTGAAGCATTAATATACTAATTTTAGTACACAACCAATCATCTGTAATAGCAAGCAGCTATCACTATATTTATTTTAGTCGGGTTATACATGAAATTGTTGCGGCACTCAGCAATAGATGGCGTTATTGTAAAAATCTCATGCGGGTGTTTATTTTTTTATTAATATGGTATCACTGACGAATTTTGAGCGAATTAGTAGATATTTATTTTTAATGGCAATATTGGTTTTGGCTTCGGGCTGCCACAATGCGCAACAGACAATGTGCACTAAATAATTCGCGTCAAATATTATGCAGTACTGGAAATCACGTAATCCTGACATGAATTCCCGGACTGAATATTTTGTGACGCCTATTTTTTTCTGCATTTTCTTGAAGCGCTCGGTGAATTGACGTCAAAATTCATGCAGGAAATAAAGGGCGTCATGGAAAATGCAGTAAAAAGTTCATGTTTTGATGAAACATCATTTCTCGACGCGCTTCAGAAAAATGCAGCACAAAAAATGCAACCCGCAATTCAGTGTCATGTCATTGAACTTTACTAGAGGTGTACTCAAAAACTCTTAGTGGTCGAGAAATCATAATCGATTATAGGTCCGTTAGGTATAGCCTAACCAAACCTGGCGTGGAAAGCGCCAGGTTAGGTTAGGTTAGGTTAGAACTTTGACCACAACGCACGAGCCGAGCGAGCGGAGCGAGCGTGCCGCGGCAGCGGCCGGCGATGTGCCAGAAACGACACGCTATCCACGTCATTAATTTAAAATATGATTATCGATTTGTATGATCAACGATGATGGTTCATCTCTAATAAATTTAAAAATAAAACGAATGACAGCTAGCATGAATTCTCGGGTTGCACAATTTCGGAGCGCATGAAGATTGCGCAGTAGAAAACATGCAACAAATATTTCATGTCAGCAGTAACTTTTGACACAGATTCTCGGGCTGCATTCTATTTGTCACCTATTTTTTCCTGCGTAATAAACGTCGTGTAAACCACATTCACAACAGAAAAGTGCAACACGGGAATTCGCGTTAAAATTTGTGCACCCCGAGCATTCTTGTCAATGTCGTCAATTATTTACTGCACAAAACTTGACGTGTTTTTTTCGTCGCACAATTTTTGTTGCACAAAGAGCGCACCCTTGGCTTCGACGTATTACGTCTCTATTTACGCAAAAATATAGCTCTTTGGCCACTATTGTCAGGTAAAGCAAGTATCTTTATGATTTCATTTTTATGTATTTTCAGTAAATTAGTACAAGCAACGTTTTAAAATAAAATAAAAAATTATCATACCCAAAAATAGAAAAACAAAAAATTTCAATACAAAAAATTGGAAAATGGAACGTTTTATCCGCTATTTTGATTGACATTTGACGTTGGTATTGAATGTTCGTTTGGTTTGGTTGTTGAAACAAAGTTTGTGGATATTTTTTGGATTTATTACTTACTACACGGCATTATTTTGGACACCGAAGATTCTCTGTACGATCTACTTGGCAAAACTTTAGGACTCCGACAGAACTGCTTCAACGATTGGACCTGGCAAAACTTTTGAACGCTGACCGAACTGCTGCAACGAAACTCACGCTTGAAATACTGGACCCTGCTGCTGTTGATTTGGATTCTTGTTACCATGTCCATCAAAAAATGCTCTGTTCCCAACTGCGAGAAAAGCCGTAAGTCAACTTTTTATTAGCTTACCGAGGTAAAAGTGCCACAGGCCAAAGCCAAGCGCATAGAAGATCAGGCCAAGTAGGACTGTCACGTATTCATTGGGGACAAAATCCCAGGAACCTTGTTTAGGACACAAAGTATCTGGAGAATGTTCCCAACATGTATGTATTTTGAACAATTTCCCCGAACAAAGTTCCTGAAAAAAAGCAAGTTAGGGGCTTTGTCTATTAGACAAAGTATCAGGGATTTAGTCCCCAATGAATACCTGGCTTTAGTAACATGAATCTGTACTATGTATCTCAAGTTATTAATTCTAATGTTACTTTAAAGGTGCAGAGAATACTATACTTCACGTCTTTCCAAATCCTGACAGTGATCTGCAAAGGTATTTGACGTGGAAGAAATAACATCAATGGATCATATTGCTATCTTCAAACTTCGGAGAGTCTGCCATGATCATTTTGAGGAAAAATATTACACAAGAAGCAAACGATTAAGTTCCAATGTTATTCATGTCCTTAGGAAAAAAAGTCAAATGAACAATATTAAAACATATATTCAAACAAACAAATACTTGATAAATTACTAAATAAATACTTGATAAAGACATTGACTTTAGTTAGTTAATATTGAAGTAAATTTGCCTTATTGTCTGCCTCACTCTGCCATCCATCACTCACTACCCTAAGAGTAATGGAAGAGATTTCTTTTTAGAAATAAGTAGACCTGTTGTAAATTGTTCCTAAATGTATTTATTCTATGTGTTTTTCTTGTGTTCTACAATTTTCTTTTCAGAAACAAGTAGACCTGTTGTAAATTGTTCCTAATGTAGGTATTATTTGTCCTATCCTACATAGAAAACGAAACAAAATTCCACGTGTGTACAATAAACGGTTCAATTTTAATAACTTGTTGTTGTTTAATTGAAGCTTATGTAAAATGTAACTAAACACTGTAATGTGGAGTAAATAAAAAAGAACTTTTTTATTTAAATCTCACATTACAGTGAAAATTGAATAAATTTAATTGAAACTAGTAAAATATTCCCAAGCGACCAATAAAAGAAAAGTTTTCAGTTCAAATCACGAGATGTCGCTGATGGCGAAATCGTCGAGCGATATCTCTATCTCAGCTAATATATAAAAGGTACTCTTTGGATACGCTCCTCCGTCAACACAGACTCCGACACGGAGTTAGTATCGGGTCGTTCGTTTACTCGGCGTCTTACGCTCTACGCGATAAGCGAGCACTGAATGAGTGCATTTTCAAGACACTACTGCGACGCGACTGTTTTGTACATTAATACTGTTTGACGTCGGTTTAGAATTGCTTAACCAACTTACTTGTCTAACAGAACCCATTCCGCAGACTTTGACTTTTTATTTTTGTACTGAGTCCAGAAGAAATAACCCAATAGCTACAAAAATGTGTGTTCTTCATAGCCTTTATGACAACTTAAATGATAGATTTTAATAATGGGTAGATAATTTGTGTTGCGTATTGGATATTTTGCAAATATTATATCGTGCGCTGTAAAGTGGTCTGAATAAATCCAAGATACGCAACTGTTTCTGTTTTATATCCTGTATTTAAACCTCTTCAATTTTTGACAGGTAATCGTCAACTCCTCCGCCTGGCAACAAAAGACAATACTCGTGTGGCGAGTCCGCCTCCGAGTTTCGGAGAGTACGGTCACGGTGAGCGCGCACACATCATCAAATAACTGTAACTTGTGTTTGTACTATAGTGTTTGGGTTTGGGGCGAACTAAATTGAATGCAAAATGTTAGGGAAGTTGTGCAAAAAGTCAGGAACAGATCGGCCTTCTAGACGAGTACCGAGAGATTGAAAAATTGGCAGTGGTCATTGGATGAGTCGATAGCTCAATGGCAGAGCAGTAGGACGATATCCTACCTACCGGCCCCAGGTTCGGTTCCCGGTCTACGCTTGAAATTTATTCAATTTCTTATTTTCATGATCTAGAATAGATCTGACGAAAAAAATGGTTATTTATCTTTTTTCGTGTGGGACGAGTCGATGAGCGTTTGGGTATTGAAATTAATTTTAAAGTATTTTGAGTTACGGCATATTCACAAGCAAATTCGCATCTGTAAGTTTCATGTCTTAATTTTGCATTAACACGCGTAGAACCCGCGTACGTCCGAAACCGCCCTGAAGATTTTATGTATAAGTTTAACATAAGCCTTGTTTTCAAGTTATATGAAAACAAGGTTTCGACTTGATTAGGAGTAGAAGTGATCGCCATAACCGAAATCGGTCGAAGACAGATCATACGGGAAAACCATTTTCTGTTTTTGCACTAACGTCCCTAACATCTTGTTTTGCACATTATACAGGATGTCCTGAATGGATAACGATTAGTATATGGCCATTCTGTATATTTAGTTCGTCATAAAATGAAACTTGTTAAGTGAAGCAAAAGTGAACGCAGAATAATTTTCATCATGTATAGTTTAGTTGTTACATCAAAAGTGCATCGTAGAATTATGATAAAGTTGAAATGCAATGAAGATTAACATGTTGTGACGTAATTAATTGTATAATTTTATCTGTCACTGGTTTAAAACTAAGAAAGGGAATGTATCAGACCAAACATGAGGTGTAGAATGTGTATTAATGATTATGTCCCATGTGGTGAATAAGACATGAAAGTGAACAACTTTCCTCCAAGAACAGGTGAAAAACGGTGATACCTGTTCTAATGCACGTTTCATTTTTCGATTTATGTGTCTTGCAGAAAGTTGTTCAGTTTCATGGAATGGTTCACTTCAGCATTACACCTACAATTTATATGAGGCAAAGAAGACGTTATATATTGATGGTGCCTGAGGTTTTCTGAGGTAAGAATGGGGGTGGAAGCAATATTGTAATAGAAGAAATACCTAACTGTTTTTGTGAAGTAAAACAACCTAGTATTGTAAACTTAAAAGAAAGGACATTTACTACAACTTGATAGGCGAATAGCAGTACAGTCGAAGATGTACAAACTTCCTAACTCGAATAAATAAAGCATTTTACATGAAATGCAGGGAGATACCGAACGGCCGATTTTCTAGAAAACGTTAAGTTTTACAGGTCAAACTTAACAAGTTTGCCCCAAGCACTGAAACTCAAAGTTTAAAAAGAAAATGGGCCTTCTGTGACAAAAAAAGAAGCCCGAGCAATTTTCTACAGTTTTTTTTAGTTTTGACCAATGTTCTGTGGGGAAACATTTTCAGTTTGACCTTTTGAATTTAGCGTCGACAGTTCGGTATCTGCCTGTATTCGCGATTATTTTAGCTTATCCCCAGAAATACAAAATAAATAAATACAATAATAAAGTAGTTGTGTCGTGAATTTAGACGTGAAGTGATATTATTGCGCAAATTCGTAATCCTAAATTATGCCTAGTCAAAAAATCCAGGTTCTGTAGGATAATAAGACAACATTATAGCGATTTTCCTAATTTGGGCAGCTTCTTACTACATCGGGAAATAATAGTTAGTAATGTTTTGTGATTGGTAGATGAATGTCGAAATAACTAAGGGGTGATTTACAAAACCGTGTGGCCTTTACAGGGCGGCACCGCAACTCATATACAGGGTGGACCATAGAGTCACGTCAATAAGAAGAAATTTGATTCCTCACATCTTGGGGTATTCGAAAATACGCCATGTATGTTCCGCGATTTTTTTAGTTTTCGAGTTATTAAACTTTTAAAGTTGTATGTAAAAATCTCGAACGGCAGACTTTTTTTTTTTGTACGCTAAAAAGTACAAATCATAAAGATTGTGCTGTGAAATCAACCGTGCGAAAAGCCCTTATACGGAAGTAAAATAGGAAAGGAAAAATTACTGGTAGTCAAGATTTTCCCATACAACTTTAAAAGTTCAATAACTCGGAAACTAAAAATAATCGCGGTACATACATGGGGTATTTTCGAATACCCCAAGATGTGAGGAATCTAATTTCTTTTTATGGACGTCACTCTATGGCCCACCCTGTATATTTTGGCCCTAATGTATCTATCATAATTCGATCTGATATTTCGGCTAGACTTATCTTTCGACTAATCTGATTTCAAACTTTGGCTTCGAAGCATTTCGATTCTGTGTGACGATTGGAATTTAATCTTACGTGGTTCGTATATAAGGTGCAAAAAATTTGCTGCAATTTTGAAGTTGATACCAGTTTATGAAACTTGACAACACTCTCCAAAGGTCAAAATATGATTAAAAAATTAGTGTCCCATAAAATACGTTGGTTGGCCAGATTTTTCATAATTCGGCCTCCGTTTCTCAAGGAAAGTTACGTAACATCGCTTCGAGACGAGCATCAAGAGGTTGAAAGATTCAACAGGGTCCGCTAGACGCCCGTAGCTCAGTCGGTAGAGCGGTGGAACGGTGATCCACGGTCCCGGGTTCAAGTAACGGCGGTCGCTGGTGAATTTTTCAATTTTCTCATTATTTAATTTTCGAGGAAAGTTATTCAGATTCATAGCTGGTTCACAGCTTCAAATATTTGCAGTTCAGTTTTTAACATCCTGTAGAGTGTATTATTGTAGGAAACAACCCCTCGCCTACTTTTAAGTAGTGGTAGTGAAGGCTTATTTACGGGCGCTATTACTGTGCAGCAGTGCCTAATATTATACAAGTAAATGAATAGGGTGTTAGGAAAATAGCGAACGTTATTTTACCAACTTTACATGAAAAATGAATGAAGTCTATTGGCGTATTCCGGGTATGTTTCTTGGTTTTTATATGAAAAATATGATGATATGGATATAGATAAACAATACTGCCGTAAAAATCTTTATTATTATGGATTTATGATTCCGTACGACATAGCAACAAATTACAAATAAATTAAATACGATATAACAACTTTACGAATAAATTAAATGAAAAAGAGTAAAATATTATCCGCTAATTTCCTAAGACCCAATATTAAATGTAACTATCAGTGTGTGACTCGTTCGTTCATATAATATCGGTATCACTATAATTAATTTTCATTTATTTACATTTAATAGCAGAATATAGGATGTTGTATTTTGGGTGGAGTCAAATTTTTATACTCTAGTTTTAAAATGAGAATAATAAGAAATATTATTATTATTAGAGATATCAATAAATTGGTAACACCAAGTTAATATTTAACTTTAGCTCTTGTATATATTTGAGAATATAATACATGTGTGTCTTTTATTTTTGTACAGTTCGAAAATTGGAGCAAATAACAATTTCTGAATATGCGGTGAGCTTTGTAAATATGCGACAGTATGAGTGAAACATATACTTAAAACTGTAACAACTTCTTTGAAATTATGTGTTGGTATGATTCTGAAAGATCATACAAAAATGGCAGCCTAAAGATATTTTTGAGGAGAAATTAATTATAATTAAAAAAGGTAATGGAATAAATTCACTGGAAGACAGATCAAAGTGTACTTTAGAAAAATAATTGGTGTTAAAATGTCTTCCATATAAGTAGGGTACACTCCACTACTAAAAAAGAAACTATTATAATTACAGCAACGATTTTACAAAAAAACCTGTTAGGTTTTAAATATAAATCTACAAATAAAGGTTTAGCTTCTCCTCAGAAATATTAAAAATATATGATTACAAATAACTCATACAAAATCATTCTTCAATGTACCTAGTAATTTTTTGTTCAATTGATTTTTCTCTGTTATGGGAATAAAATAAGACATTCCGTATATCTTATAACATTTGTGGCGTCATTGTTGATGCAACTTTTACAGGAAAACAGATCTTCTAAATTATTATAAAAATGTTCTCATTTAATATGTTGCCATATGTTTATTGCATTATTTTTAAAAAGATCTCCACAAAAAGGTGACAACTTATTTTGAAAAACATGGTTTTGGTAGCATTTTTAAAGTTGTCACTAAAATGTATTCTAATATTACAACTTATATCTTAATTTTTAAAAGTAAGGTCAGTTTTCAAAGGGTTTATATCCGAAATCCTGTCTTTTCTTGACTCGCTTACCGAATCCCAATTTGGTGGGTCATCTAGACACGCACAAAAATTATAATTTTGGGTAAAACCATGCAACTAAAAAATCGTTTAATATTGTTATTATTTTAATTTCATATAACACTTTGTGTAGACACAGTAATAACTTTATAATTATTCTATAATACGGATATTGTAGAATAATTCTTATCACTGGGGTTGATATTTTTTGTATTACATGTACGAGTATGTCGCCAATACTAATTTTAAATGTGTTTATTTATAATTCGAATTCATACAAAAATGATGCAATGCAAGTAACAATAATATTTAACTGGTATGTCTGTATTGGAAGTAATTGAAAGGAATAAATGTTTAGATTTGCCTTATAAATGTTATGTCCTAAGCGCTGTAGAAACTTTAGTGCGTGTGGCTCATATAGGCTGTTTAATACAGGGTGAATCTATAAGTTCAATATTCTATCAAAGAACAGGTTCAAAAAATACTGTAAATTACAATCTGAAGAGAGCCGAAGAAACGCATGTCTTTGTCGAAAATACGAAATAAAAAATGACTTCGTATGACTTCTAACTGAAAGAAAAGAAACGTCAAAAACGCCCTATCTTCTTGCAGTCTCTCTTTCGCAAACCAGGAATATGCGTATTAACAATCCATGGTTAATTCGACATGAATGTTTATCGGGTTTGGTTTGCATTCAAGATACACCCTGCTTTTTATATTATTTTTAATTTAAAACTTACGAAACACTAAATCACAATATCATCTAAGATTATGAATTGTACATATTAGTTTTAGTTCTGTAGTATTAAGGTTTATTATCATTTTAAGGTATGATAGAATATCTATTTGTGAGATACATAGACGTGTTTGTTTTACCATATAAAGACCATTTTGATTTGGCACCAGCATTGGATTTCAACTTAATGGGCACGATTTAATGAAC